TTTTTACATACTTGTCAAAACCATGTATATAAGGTTAGTTTTACTAATATTATAGCAATATTAACGATAAAAATAAGAATTCCAATTATAATTATTTTACTATGCAATTATAGTCGTAAATACCAAGCATATTTCTCTCAGTGTAATAATTAAATCTAATCTTATTATTATTATTTCAAATCATTTGATAATTAAAAAACTTTTTTTCTTTATTTTTATGAAGACATCATGTGAGAATTTATTTAACATTACGACCAAGCACAAATGTAAAGTTTAATTTAATTTATGTGGTGAGTTTTAAGAGTTTTTTATTCTTTTGTATTTTATAGATTTTATACATTGGGAATCAAAACGATTTTGCAAAACATTTTATATGTAGAAATACATTGCCACTGAGGACGACCCAATTCAAGGATCGAAACGTATGGCACCTAATAAATAGTCTATTTATCATTACACAAACACCTAGTATTTGCTTTGTATTGGCCGTTAAATCAACGTATTATTTAACCATAATATTATGTGTGCAATCATGCACTCGACTCTTAATTTTTTATTTTCGCGCAATCAAACTGTAGGCAATAATTTTTGTGCGCAAACAATTTATCGGCAAATCTGATGTAGGCAAATGATGTTGGCAATTTTATGTAACATATGGCTGTTCAGATATCCACTGCCAGTAAAAATCTATACTTTACGTCACATGTCCTATATATTTCCAATATTGGTAGTAAATATCGAAACGCCGTTATTTGACTTTGTCTTCGGAATAGTATTTAGAAGCAAGTTTCTTGAAGGTTACATAGTATAGTATACTTTGTAATCTTGTACTGTAAAGTAGATTTGGTTGTCATTACATCACTCTCTACATATAATTTCGCAACTCCAAAACGCAAATTTTAAAGAAAAGCAGTTTAAAGATTAAAAACTTCATATGTTTTTTTAGTTAAGAGATTCTTTTGGTTTCAAGTTTTATCTTACTTATGAATATTTTTTTTAATATTTGATGAGTATAAAAAACGTGACTTTCTAAGTTTCACTATCAATAAGCTGAAAATCTCATACGTGACACTTATGTAATTATATATAAGGAGTGACGACTAGTAGTTTATTATCTTTCACTAGATATATATATATATATATATATATATA